ACAAAGGAGTCCTGATGCACAACACACCCTGAATGCCATAGAGCAGATCTTGAGGTTCCTTAAGCAAGAAAGCTCACCAAAGGAGTGAAAGGGCTGGGGTGTGAAGGGGTGAAACCCCCTTCTTCTCCTCCAATCCAGTGGCTTCTTATTTAATCCTATTGATGTCCATAAGCCTTTCCTTCTGCTTCTGGATGCATGCACTTTGGGCATCTTGTGACAACTCCCATTAATTATCATGAAATATGAACACGGGACCATTAATTTTCACAGTGGCATACAGGCAAATCAGGGCAGGATATGCTCTCCACCACCAGAAGAAGTCAGCTCAGCAGGAAACATCACCCTCTCACCTGCTGAGTGACCAGCGCCTGCCCTGGGCCAGGTCAACTACACAACAAGCGTATTAAACCCCAACACCACTTATATACCCTCAAAATAAGATACTGGAAGACTCCAGGAAAACCAACTACAGAAGACTAAGAAGGTAGTAAAGAAGGTGAATACAGGGATTGTCTTTGTCACCACTTCTCTCTTKAAAGCATGCTTTCTGTTTTATCATTTGCTTTAATTTGGCTGCTGGAGTAGCTRCACAGGCAGCCAGCTACCTTGGTTGTGGGCCAGACCAGAAGGAGAGAACAGACTCTAAGGATAGAGGTATGGAGTGACTGTAATAACAAGGGAGAACACATAAGAAGAAACTGAATATATTCAAAGAGAAAAACAGGAAACACATGTGACCCTCCAAAGCCACAACTCATCGCCCAGCAGCCCAGGTAGACCAACTTGTCTCCACTGAAGTCAACAGAAGCATTCTGGCATGCTATGAACATGTCAGGACCCTAAAAATAGGCTGAACTGATTTGTTTGCTCTGGTAACATTCTCTGGTTTACAATACCAGGCCTTATGAGTCTCTGCAATGTGATTAGGAAATAGGAAACACCAGTTCTGAACCGGAGCAGATAAGCTCAAATCATTTCAGGGACAACTCATGGATGGGTAGACATCAGATCAGCTGTAAGAAATTCCTTTTTATTGTGCAACTTGTTATTTGCAGTAGGGTGAAAATGGCTTCAAAGGTGATCCTATGCAGTCTGAGGGGTATCTTCTTTTATCTAATGTACTTTATATAAACCAAATTGGTTTTTGCTTCAAACATCTCTCTGCAGAGGAAAATCAATTTCAAGTTGCAATGGCTGTGATCTTTCAAGCCAAAGATCTATTGTAAATGTACTAAGTGCTTGGCAATGCAAACATATGGAGACAAGTATTACAAGTCCACATATGTGCCATGCCCAAATCAAGGTTTCACTTCCAGTACACTCAATAATCCAATGCTCCTCTAACAACAGTTTCACGTACAGAAGTTGAAATGTGTTATGACCAGATAAACAAATCTCTTTTAACCATTTTAGCCATTTCAGCCATTTCAAAACCAGTAAATCAGTTATCAGGCAAACAAACAAACAAAAATTCAAAATTCAGTGCTGACCCAATACCTATGCAGGTTCTCCCCAGGGCATTGAGCGGGCACATACTCAGGTGACTTACACCGTACCCGTTTACATCCCAGCCTGGGCTTCCCCTAAATACTGCACAGAATACAACATAGAATTGTTARGGTTGGAAGGGACCTTTAGAGATGATCTAACCCCCCTGCACACACAGTGTCCCCTAGAGCAAGTGGCACAGGGCTGCGTCCAAGCGGATTTTGAAGATCTCCAGAGAAGGAGACTCCACAACCTCTCTTGACAACCYGTTTCAGTGCTCTGTCACCCTCACTGTCCAGAAATTTTTCCTTAAATTCCTGTGGAACTTTTGGTGCTTCAGTTTATGGCCATTTCCTCTTGTCCTATCAGTGGCCCCCACTGAAATGAGGCCAGCCCCATCCTCCTCACTTCCTCCCTCCCTTGAGGTATTTATAGACACTGATCATGTCCCCCCTCAGCCTTCTCTTCTCCAGGCTGAAMAGGCCCAGCTCCCTCAACCTTTCCTCATAGGGCAGATGTTCCAGGCCCCTGATCATCCTCATGGCCCTGCGCTGGACTCTCTCCAGCAGCTCCACATCCCTCCTGTACTGGGGAGCCCAGAACTGAACASAGTCTCCAGATGTGGCCTCACCAGSGCTGTGTATAGGGGGATGATCACCTCCCTTCACCTGCTGGAGATGCTGTTCTTAATGTTCCCCAGGATCCCATTGGCCTTYTTGGCCACCAGAGCACACTGCTGTCTCATGGTCAACTTACTTCCACCATGACATCCAGGTCCTTCTCTTTGACTTTGGCATGCTGTTTGACTTTGCAAGAACCAAACATGGTTACACATCCTCCTCCAGCTAAACAGAGCGGTGATCTTGTCTCAACATCTGTGGACAGCTAAAGGACATTAAGTTTTGTAGTAGCTCTCTACACTGTGTTGGTTTAGCTCAAAAGTCAGGTGCTATTAATGTCAGTAATATGCTTGGATTAAGTCATGACTGCACGTAGTATTCATGCATTAGGCATTAAAAAAAAAGAAGAAAAAAAGAAAACCTTTATGAAAGGAAACAGATTGGATTACAGAATCACAGAATGGTTAAGGCTGGAAGGGACCTCTAGTCCCTTCCTTGTCCCTGGACATCTAGTCCAAATCCTCTGATCAAGCAGGGACATCTAGAACACATGGCACAGGGTCACATYCAGGTGGGTTTTGAACATCTCCAGAGAAGAAGACTTCACAATCTTTCTGGGCAGCCTGTTCCAGAGCTCTGGTCACCCTCACAGTAAAGAAGTTCTTCCTCATATGGAGATGGATCTTCCTGTGTTTCAACTTGTACTCATTATCCCTTGCCCTATCACCGGCCAACACRAAGAAGAGCTTGCCTCCTCCTTCCTACCTTCTCCTCTCAGAYACTTACACATATTGATCAGATCTCCTCTCAGTCTTCTCTTCTGTAGGCTAAAAAGGCCCAGCTCACTCAGCTGGGATGTTCATATGCAGGATCCAAGAAGGCTGTAGTAAAAATAGAAGTCAGGAAAACTACTACAAGTGCTTCTAATACCGATTCATCTAAAAACGTTCCGTATGCAAGACTCCATGACCTAGACTTAGGATACTAGAATGCCGACCTCGGGCATTCTAATTCTAATAACATAGGCTYGGGCAACTTCTGCAAAGCTAAGAGGAGGAGGAAGAAAGGCATTCAACATCTCTCCTGCACAGAGCCACAGATAGATTTGTAGATCGTTACATGCCCTTATGGCTAGAGCTAGTTTGGAGCACGTAGTGTGTGTTCAATAYCCAATAAAAGCACTGCAGCTCTGAACGACCACAGAACACTGCAAAGTCACTGCATCTTTTCAGTAAGAAATCGAGCTCAGCAGTGGTGGGGCAGACCTGGGTCACTGGGGTGGGTTTGCAGCTTGCTCGCACAGAGCACAGCAGCTTAAGCCCATGGGCAGGAGAATATACATTACTTGTTTGTGGACATTAAAGTGCCTCTTACACTCTGGATGTCCTTGCAGAGGAAGCCTTGCTGTGACAGAGAGCAAGCTGCTCCCTAAAGGAAAAACAGCCATCTCCCTCCCTCTCACAGGTGGGAATGAGTCGATGAGACTTGGCTCTGTCCCACTTCTCTCCATTTGAGCAGTAGCAACAGGTTAGTCAGGACACTGACCTCTCACCAGCTTTTAGCCCAAGGTTGGAAAGTTTAGACTGCAGAAACTGCATGGAATAAATAATATGCTTAGAATCATTCATTTTGTTCACAGTGAAGATCTCTTTTCTTTTAAAAAAGTCCCTAAACCCCTTTCTATTAACTTAGAGACCCCAACTGCTTTCAGCATAGGCATAGTGCTCTTCTAGTAATATCCTTCTTTTATTACACATTTCAGGTTACGTACAAGCTGCCAAAGCTATGTTGTTTCCTGCCCCTCCTTTCAGTTGGGTTAGTTTTACAGCTTGATTTAACCCTGAGAAATGTTTTGGCTGGAACCTTCCTTCAGATAAACCACAAGAAATCAAGAGATGTCAGTGTTYGTGAAGGACAGATGACAGAGCAATCCTGAAAGGGTGCTTATGCAAAATCCAGTTTGGAAACCCATGTCGTGTTTTCTTTTGGTGAGAAAAGTCTTACTGTTGTCACCCTCAGTCTTTACTAAAGGTCYGGGAAACTAAGAGAATTGAACTACGCTATCCTAGCGCACTTCTACAAGCAGTGGAAGGGATCAGCGCTCAACACACTGGTGCCTGTCTTGAACCACAGCCTCCCAGTCCTCATCCATCAGCCTCCTTTTCCCTATTGCCTCCCGGCTGATCAAAGATCTTTGAATTCACTTTCCTTCTCTTTACTACTAAATGATAGCAACAGCAGGTTATAAGCTGATGTTCCAAGCACTAAGACTTCGTATTGTTATGTTAGAGTAGTGTGCTGGTACAGGCAGAAGATGAACACAAATTAACTGGAAATTGGATAGGCAACAAGATAGGGACTGCAAAACTATCCCTAGTCCACTTAAAACCTTCTGTAGTTGTTCTCATTAGAACATGGATCTCCTTCAGGTTTTTCTTGTTGAGATGAGTTTTTGTTGTTGTTTTCAGTCCTTTCAGAGGTAGTACAGGCTCCAGTCCAGAACTTCCTTCTCTCAATCTAATTTTCTCATGGGTTTTCAGCAAGGCACAAGGAGCATTATCTGAAGGTCATACAGCCCATCAAAAAGCCCAACAGAGACAGGGTTAGACCCACAGTTGCTACTTTATCTGMTATTCCTTTGAGTCAATGAAAAATATTACCAAATGGTATTAGGGATTCAGGTGTATAGACATAGGAGCATCTACGTGTGTCTACCATAGCTCAATTCACAGTATGATTATAAGTGTAAACATACAGTAAAACATATAAAGAAAAAAAAAACCTGTATCCAGTGTAATTTTAATAAGTAAAATAAATCCAAAGGAGTGACTTGGATTTCAGGAGCAGTCACCTTTCCACCAACACAATGCAAGGTCTTTTGCAGGGACAGCGAGGGAAGATTCACTAAGTGCCACGCTGTTGCATGCTTGCTTATATTAAGCTTCCCAGGAGTCACGCTCACACCCTCAGGCTTCTGAAAACCTTGCTAATCCACAGGGCTAATCTCATTTCCTGGACCACGAGGCATGCTGTAGTCCAAGGGCTGGAGCAGATGGATGCATGAGGAACAATCCTCGGTTTGTGAAGTAGTTGCTGCTTCCCAGGACTTTTAGGTATTTGGCAGCTTTTGGACTGGCAAGAGATTTAGCTGAGTGATGCAGCTCTCGCAGGTGATGTCGGGCCTGATGTCACATTCCCCACCTCCTCTCTCCAGCTACCCCTAAGCAGGTTCCCAGTGATCMCTCCCATGTGCATCTTGCAATGGGTATGTAGTACTCCAATTCAGTCCTTCACAAAAGGCAAGAGAGCTGGAGAGTTGTCCAAACAACTTATTCCCAGAATACATCTATGCAGGTCCCGTATACACATACGTTCAAGCCCACGTGTGTGCAGTGAGGTAGCTGTTTCTACTAAGGCAAAGAAGAGTGTCACCTGGTTAGAGAACTTTGGCTGTCAGCAGAACAGATGGTTCAGGCTCAGGTGGAAAATAATAAGCTATAAAACTTTAGGTCAGAGTGTACCTGGCAGATGCTGGACTTCGAATTAAAGCCAAGTTGTTCAGCTAATGGGTGTGCAGCAGCAGCATTTCTCTTTAAGTATTAAGAATTGGAGCAACTCCATTGTCAGGCTGCAAGCACGGCCCAGGTGTGGCCTCATTAAGCTGCATGCTCTTGGAAGCTGCTTTCCCTTGTGAGCAATGAGTAGGAAATTATTAAAACTTGCCTGTCATCTGCAGGGAGAAAGGCAGGTGTGATGCTTCCTGGTTCAATTAAATAGAAGGGCCATAAGATCACTRACGTTCTTTGTGAAACGGTTCATTACATTTCAAATATTCTCCTTTGTTTCCTTTGGAAAGTGGTGACATTAAAACAATGCAATCCACCACCACAAAGTGAGAGCTAACTCCAGCCCTTCTGTAACATAAGCCCTTCAGGTCTGCACCATGGGAGTTTTGTTAGWTTAGTAATCACTACAGCATATGGAAAAGCATTTATAGACTCTGACCTTCTGTAGATAAAGGGAGTTATACTGGTTTTGCCACTAAAGCCAAGGAGATTTGCATATATTGCTTTCTCCTAGCACTGAGGAAGAAGAAACTGAGGCAGTAAAATGCTGAAATCTAACACATTATTCAAGAAAGGGTGCTGAAGGAGCTTGAAGGTTCAAAGCTTACGATATCCTAGCTGCAGTTTCCAGTACAGGGACAAAAGGATGCGACCTCAGCTACCACTTAGGGCTTTTAGAGGCACAAACTGCATTTGCTTTGAGGTTACATTTAGAGTCTTGTGAAAACTCTCCTCAAGAACTGTTATTACACAAGAGTTGTACATGCAGCTCTTGGTGTTTCACTGCCTGTCATCTGTCACCATAGCGGGATCTGCTCTGAAAGGGAGCTTGGAAAGAACCCTTCATTTTTCTCTGTACCTTCCTCTTCTGTGGTCTTTAATCCTCTACTCCTTTGGCAATTATAACTGTCGTGTAGCTTTAGCACCTACACATGACTTCTGGTTAATGCCAAAACACAAAGAAATCTGCCCACATGAAAAGATGTCAGAAGAGAGGTACTTTGTGACCCAGGCTTCAGAGAAATGGCCCCAAGCATTTCCTCATCAATTCACACCTTGGGCTACTTGGGCTACTTGGGCACTTGGGAAGCAAAACCAGGTAATTCCTTTACCTATCCTTGTACTTTACCACAGTCTCTAGTTTTAATCAACTCCTTTGTTCCTTTTGTTGTCAGGAAATTGAGAAATACAAATATGACACAATTACCTTCAATTATCAAAAATATTACTTTTATGGAATAGAGTGAAAAATTAACTTATTCCAGATGTGAAATAGTGAGACATATATTGAGATTATAAGGGAGTTTTTAGCGGCTGAGGCTCACCCATGGCCTCCAGAGAGGTTAAATAATCACATTACGCTTCTCCTTCCAGCGTCACAGCAGTTTGSATCCTTTCATCTCACACAATGAATCCTCTGTTTGCTTGAACTTTGGAGATGTAACACCACCCATGAGCAGGACTCCTCCATTACCTGCTGGTTTGATCCTGGCTGCACTCCTAAATGACAGCTCTGTCTCTCTGCATACACAACACAAACATGGATCACACACAAACTAAAATGTGCAACACAGCTCTGCTCACACTGTCTTCAGAAGACAAGCTCAACCACCCCAACAAAAAGTGCAAAGACTACTCAGTGTTTTCCACCTGACCCCAGGTTATGTCTCTTTTTACCCCTTGGCAAGTCCTCTCCTTGTGCATCTGCCCCACTTCTTACAAAGCTCCCGAGATGTTTGTTTTGCCAAGTCCAAGTCTCCTCTTGGTCTTTGGGCCTCTTTGGACAGTGTTTCCAATGAGATCAATAAACACACACTGAAYTGCAGCAGGGCCCATCCCAGGAACCTCAGGATCACTTAAAGACATTTCAAGATTTCTTCAAGGTTCCTTGTCATCCCTTCTCTTTGCACGTATGACTGCCAATAGCCAATAATGCCTACACATCCTGCAGTCTGTATTTGTTGTTCAACCTAGAAAACGGTGTCCTTATTTTTATTTGAAGGATTCTTCTGCCCAGTAACACACAAGGACCCCCAACGATTTTGCATTTAAGCTCTGTTTGGTGTATATCAGTTGCACGTAGCAAAGTCTCAGTGTCTGGCCCAACCAGGCAAGTCCTCAAGCAGGTCAAGACATSACCATGTCCCAGCGCTGACTCATGGCTGTACTTTCACAAGGATTGATGACAAGCTCTTTGGTACTCTCGTTCGTGTCCCCAATCGTCTCGGTGTCTAAACAGAAGCGTGAAGCTATGTGCTCAATGCGCGAGCCGATTTTACCCCATCGCTGTGGAGAGACACACACGAGGATAAGAAACATGGGAAAAACACCCTCCTCCTCCTCAGGCTTTTAACATACCCTCCCGGGATCAAAAAGAAAGTCATCGCTAAGTCTTCCTGGCTTGAATCCGGCAGTTACAGAGCACCCACAGCCCATGCTGAGCAGGACACGTGCTGAGCGCCTCTCCTGTCAGACATACACCAGAACCATGAGGACTCGGCCTCTGCCCGGCTTGCAGCCTTCGCACAGATGAGATATCACTAACGGCTTTTCCCCAGGTCACTGGTTCAAATGCCAGCTAGATGATTAACTTCTGAGAAGCGCCAGTGTCTGCGGGCTGACTGGCAGCTCGCAGGAACTAAATTGCCAGTTTCGGTTCGACTTCTGTGGCTTATCATCCAGATTACCACCCACACTAATAGACACCCTCATCAGCACACTGATTTGAGAGGCAAAGGGCTGAGCAGGCCAGGGCACGGGCAGGCCGTGCCTTTCCTAGGAAGCAATACACTGGCAATTAGATGTGTAGTAATATCCCATTGATCTTGCTGCAAAGCAAACGTAACTAGGAGATGGATTAAAAGGCTCACCTGCTTGTTATCCCCTTCTTTGCAAGGTAACAGCTGCACCTGGGACCCTGGGAAGAGGGTGTACACGGACAAGCACAACTGCTGCTGGCGGACTTGGTGGTTGTATGTGTATGTCCATTCCTGCAAAGGGGAAAGAAAGAAACGAAAGAAGGGAGGTTTGAAATCAGGGTTGATTTTGCTGCTCTCCTGGTTTGGTAGGACCACCTCCTTTGCACCTGTGTTCTCTTGGAGCTTTCTCTGGATGCTTATTTTGTTCACCTGCTGTTCATTACCTTAGCCTTAAAAGTCTTTGGAGCAGCATGGACCCTTACCATACATTAGGGCCTCTCTGGGATTATCTTTTTTTTCCACCCAGAAATGTTTTTCTTGGGAAAAACAGGAATGAGATTTTCAAAGGTGCTGGATCGTGCCTGTAGAGATACCCCACTTGGAATATTTCATAAAGGTTTCTTTATGAAATAAAGAAATGTTTATTTTAACACTGTGCATAAATTCCTGTCTATATATGACCCTCCTGCACCTCCTGCACCTCCTGCAGGATGCCCTGCTCCAGGCAGGAATATCTCAGTGCTGTTTTGACACATATTTAAGTAGATAAGCACTCCTTTGCCTTGAGGAAATTTGCAAGTCATATTGCTACATTAACCTGTAGAGTAGCTTCTTGAACAATTTTTGTTGTTGTTGGCTTGCTTGTTTTGCTTACAGCTCAGTGCAGGCACTAACTTTAAATCAGAAATAGAGGTTTCTAGGGTCCTCAAGTCTGGGTGCAAAGCAGGATCAACTCTTGCTACATCAAGCACTTTGAGATGGAAGCATGACAAGCAGCAGCAACTGGAAAGCAGCCTGCTGAGCCGTGGCAGGGCTGGCTATGAAGCAGGCTGGGTATGAAAAAACAAGAGCAGAAAATGCTGCCTGGACACTGCAACACTTTCTTAGTGCTGAAAGGAGATACGAAGAGTGAATGCCCTGATTTCAGAGCTCTGAGGTGCCTGCAGCTTCCACTGACTTTCATTTGTGGGGGGCTGGGGTTATATTAGCAAGAGATGTTAGAGCAGGGAAATACTTCTAACCCTTTTGGTATCTGTCACAGTCAACAGCACTAATCCCTGTCTCCAACATTAAAACAGGCAACTCCAGGCACTCAGTTCCTGGAAACATCAACTCCTCTTCATCCAGGCTCTTTGCCACCTGCAGGTGAAAACATTTTTGTACAACAGACCCACACCAACAAGGACTTCACCCTGTGCCTCTCACAGCCCCTGATTCTTGGCCCTGTAACTCCCCATCATCTAACAGATCAAACCTACCTCTTCAAAGAAGCTGCTTACAGGCTTGCCAGCACAAGCTGCTCAGGAGTTCCACATATAACAAGCATGTGTTTTCAGAGCCGTAATCTGCACCCAAGTGGCCACCTGGCAACTATTTCTTCTTCATCAGATGGTGCAGAGTTCACCTGATCCTACAGTGAGCACGTTTCAGACATCCCAACCATGCACACTGTCAGCTGCTGTGTAAACTACCAGCCTGGGAAATCATGTGCCAAATTAGTCCTGCATCTGTGAAGAATCAAGCCCTAAGGGGCAAGCTCCAACACCTGTTCTTGGAGCCAGCACTGCCTACAAGCTGCTTGCAAAACCTGCTCTCCATTTTTAACCAATTCTTCTTCATTTTAGTTCCAGACAGGGCTGGAGCTGCACACCTAGCTACAAGGCTTCTAAGTGACAAGAAGTTAATTCTGCAGCTCATGCATATGCTAGATGCCCCAGCGAAGTCAGAGAGTGGGACTTCTTGACCTCTACAAGCTCCTTGCTTTACTGAGGCACTTCATGGAGTGCTGCTCCTCTCAGAGGTTCTCCATGGTTTTTTTCCAGGCTAGGCTCTCTTCAAGCCTTACCTGGACTTCCATCTTCTCCAGGCAGGACCATCCTCTCCCTCAGCAAAGCACTAGGGGACAGAAGGGTTACGGTAACCACGTATCCTAAGCTGCTATTTGCCATTAGAAGGGAGGTCTATATAGCTCTGATATGYGTGTCAGTTGGATAACGGATAGCGGATCTTCCCTCTCTTGCCCCCAGGTTGTTCTGCTACAGTCCTTATCTAAACTGACAGATTTTTCACAAGGCTCTTCTATCTTGGCAGAATGACTTTTTGTGGAAGCCAGTCCTGCTGAAAATGTTTTGTCCAGTTTTAATCACATCTCTTCCCCTTTCAGTCCTAGATGAAACCCAGAAAAAAAAAAATGACACAGAAAATGAAAACCAAGAGAAAAATGTCACTTGAACAGCACTGAATCCATGAAAAGCTTTGAGTTAAAGTGCTGGCAATGGCCACGTGAGTCTTGCTTTGTGGTGAAAAAGGCAGCTCAGGACCTAAGCACAGAGGCCTTCAAAGGGCCAGTGCAACCAAGAGCTGCAAGTGGCCAGAGGAGCTGCCGGCTGGGCTAAGATCTGGCACCTGGTGCGAAGTAAAAGCAGATGCCAAAGATGAAWCGCAAGTTAGGGATTTGGTAGGGCTGGTGGCCCCACAGCCAGCACAGAGGCAGTGGGAAGAGCAGAGGCACTGGCACACGCAGCAATGCCCCCGCACGCCGCTCTCCTCCGAAGCCCTGCTCACACTCACCCCAGCTAGGCTCAAGACCGTTTCTCAAGGCTTTAGCATCATTGGAGGAGGCACCTGTCACTGCTGCTCAGCCTTGCTCTGAGCCGAGGGAGTTATTTTAAAGCATGACCTTCGGCCTGGCAGGGGGAAAAGGGAGCCCTGCAGCCGCCCGCGGGAGCCCAGCGCCAGCTCTGCTGCCCAGCTGCACAAGGCGGCAGCTCCCCAAAGCCCGAGAGCAAAAACGTTTGTGACAAAGCCTGGGTTAACCTCGGCTCTCATTTCCTACCTCCTTGCCACTGTAAAGGAAGAACTTTCCAAGGCTGATAGTATCTGACTGCATTGGTCATCTAAGGACAGCAAAGTGCTTYGCTCATCAAAAGGCCCCACGATGCAACCGGCACTTCTGTGCATCGCAGGAAGGGGAAAGCAAAGCGCAAAGGTGCCGGTGCCAGCGCTGCGGCACGGCTCACACACAATAGCCAAGTTGRCCTCACTGGTCTTCAGGCATCAGTGCTGTCCTGGGGAGCGTGTGACAGGAACGTGACAGCCCCCTCATTCCTGTGCCTGGGCCCACATGAGGAGTAACTCGAGCAAAGTGGAGTGAAAGAGATAAGCAYGGGGATCTGTGACCTCCTAGCAATATATCTGAGCGTCCTCGCGGTTCTCTGACCTCCAAAAAATGATCTCGGAGGACAAAAAATGGAAAATGAAAGGATCTAATCAAGTTAGTGCGTTGAGAAGGTGGAGACTGCTGAAGAGATGGAGAGGAGGACAGCAAAGACTTAGAGGCAGAGAAGGTCAAAAACGTGAGTTATGGTTGAGATGCTTCGGGGTAATGTCCGTGTAGCTTGGATAGACACTAGCTGTTCTCCAAAGAAGTGTAGCTCCATTCAACCTGCAGAGCTCTTCTGGCCACCTGAGATAAGCTTCAGGGGCCACGTCAGGCAAAATATGCATTGCTGCCACAGTGAGAGCCATCCAAATGCAACGGCAGCCACTCAGGTCTAGCACGCCAGATATTCCAAGGCGCAGTTCAGGGAATGGGCAATTTTCCCACTATTTCTTCTTTTTACTGTTTGTGTACCCCTAGCTTGCAGCTATTGCTTATACGTGCATGCAAATCCAGACCAAAATGGCTTCTGCTTTTTGTTGTGAAGCATGTCAGGTTTCCTGGAACTCATAATGATTAACAGGTTGTTAAATAAACCCCAGAGTTCAAAATCTATTCCAGAGTGGTATAGACTAATATCAACTGACACTTAGTCTGAAAAGAAAACCAATGCACACGCAGCCAGTGACATCTTCATTAGATGAACCAGGACAAAATTATAATCAATTATTTTCCCTCAGATGCATTTCTCTTGCAAAAAGCTAAATCAATCAGTTCATTTAGTAAATGAGACATAACAAGATGTATAGTACTAAGCCTCTGATGGGCAGACAGGCCATGCTGTGCCTTGGAGACGTCAATGATGAGAGGTCTCCTTGTATTTCAGTATCCCTTTTTGTGATCCAAGACGAATACCAAAGCCCATCAGGGAAGGCCTGTGAGATCTGCTTGGTCTTGATCTTGATCAAAATCTGCTTCATTATTATCATTAGAGTATTATTTTCAAATTGCCCAAAAAACCTGTTCATGGGGCTCACAGTATCCCCTTCACAAGGTAGAAAAAGCCAAAATAACTAAGAAATGATTGCCACCCCACAGATTATGTTCCTCTCCCCTCCACCCACGGTGACATATGACAGCTTAGCTCTTCTCACCAGACTGACCCAGCACTTCATGCATTTAATACTGCTAAAGAACACATAGAGCCCAGCAAGGAAATAGCTGCAGAAAAGGGAATCAAGCATTTAAATTAACGCTACTGGCCTTGATAATAAGGATCTGGATAGCCAGGATTTTCCCATTGTACTTGCTGAATATCGGGAAAGAACAGCTTTCTTTTAGCTAACCATTTTTTTGAAATAATCAAGCTTAGGGCAAGCAAGATGCAACTTCAATCTTCTAAAAGTGAAGATTGCTACTATTCATTTTTGTTAGACCTATATATGTAAATAATTTGAAATAATGTAAATAATTTGAACCTGCTGCATACTTCATACAACACAGACTGGTGACCAAAAACCCCACCTCATGGATAGTTCAGCTGGTTTTATAACAGTTGAGTGATAAAAATACACACTTCTATCCACAATGACTATTTCAAAATCCTACTTTTACCTGAAATGTTCTCTATGGGTTAAAAGTAACAGGCCTCTAGAGCAAAGAGGGAAAAAAGGATAAAAGGGAAAAGATTTTTCTCTCCTTCTGTCTATATATTGAGTGTAGCTTGCAATGATTTCTTTGTAGTATACTCTACTGCTCCCCTGCAGAGTTAGTCCTAGACAGGCACAAGAAATTGAATTGCCATCAGTGGGAAACATTTGACCTATTGCAAACAGCTACAGAATCAAAATGGTAAGATGAAAAGTTTATGGCATGAAAAATTCTCAAAATTTTCTCCTTGGAAATGTCAAAACAAAATATGTTTGATAGGAATGAAACAATCCAACTTGCTGACATGACATTTCCCATTTTAAAATATCACATCAAATTGATATTTCAGAAAGACCAATGCCATTTCATTTTGAAACGCTGGCTTGAAAAAACAGTTTTCCCTTTGATTTTTCACAATCCAATTTTTAAAAAAGATCCAGCTGATTGAAAGCCATAATTTTCACTAAAATATTTCTTCTTCTTCAGATTTTTTTTTCCAGCAAAACATGATGACCTGCTCTCATTAGCTCACTTCTCTTGCTGCTTATATAAAAAGTCAGTAAAGCAGGGGAAGAAAGAGAAAGAATTTTAAAACTGGAAACCTAGTTAAACTATAAAGGCACTATTTGCTGTTACGTTCACTGTATTTTCAGAACTAAAATTCAAGCACTGATGGTTAATTTTACCAGACTGTGAAGCAGATATTATTTTACTGACTAAACACAGGCATGCAATTGCATGCATAAAAGATGCACATAATGACATGCTTCGTTTGCACGAACAAATTAGGAAAGTCTTCAGTATCATCCCCAGGCCGGACTTTTTGTAAGCACAGTTACCTGTTTTGAATGTGTAACCACGAGGGGTGAGGATGTAGAGGCAAGTGGGAGCAAGTACACGGTTGCTTATTAATTTCTTTCATGGCATCCCCAGAGAAACAAGCGACTGTTATCCTCCCTGTTTTATAGATGGGAACGCTGAGAGAACTTCCAAACATGCCCAAAACCACAAAGGGAGCCTGAAGCAAAGGCAGGTATTGAACCCAAGCCTGTAGGATACTGCTCCACCGCAAGCTGCACGTGACTGCTCTTTGCTCTGATGTTTCCTAGACTATGTCTCAGAGAACACATGCTGCTTGATAGAATTTTTTTTCCATCTCAGAGAGATTAAAAAAAAAAAAAAAAAGATCATCCTCATTAAATTCTCACTAGTTTAATGGGCAGTTTAATATTGAAAGCAGGCAGACTATGAAGTTATAAATACCAGCACGATTCAGTGCATTTCAAAAGAAATAAGGCTGAAACATGAGAGGAAATTATAGCTCTCTTTGTCTTTCTCTGTTCTCTGCATACAAACGCTATGGAGCATTTCTGGCCAGAAGCAGGGAGTGCTCCATGTGGGCCAGCAGGGAGAAGAGCAGCCCAGACCATTCTGTTGCTGTGGGGCTGCTGCAGCAACAGTGCTGCCCAGGACCCCCAGCAAGGCAAGCAGGACTGCCAGGGCTTTAACTACAGCTCAGGTTCCAGCAGAGCTTTAGCTAACGTGGAAGATCACCTTGGAGCTGCAAGGTGCACCTGCGGTAGGGCCTTTCCCCAGTCTGCACTGGGGACGGGCACTTACCTGGAGTGTTGCTGCTGTGCCCTTGCTGCTGCTGCTGCATGGACTTAAGCTCAAGACTGGGAACTCCTGGCCTTCAGACTTGAGTGATTCCAGGCAGTTCTGCCTCTGTCTGATTATCCCAGACTGGTAGAGCGATTCCTCAGGAATCCTGTGGGCAGAGCAGAAAATAACCTCTCCCCTCTGCTGGAGGCACAGGCTACTCAAAGGGCGGCTCTGTGAGGGTAAGGAGGTGCCACCTGCCCCTCAGAGCTCACCTTCAGAAAATGAGGGCCAGTATCCATCCCTGCACTGAACTGCTGCAAGTGGCACAGGGCACTGACCCTGCAAAAGCAGCTTTCAGAGAGGGATGGGGGGATCTTTTAAGAGGGAAAAATAAATAACACCACACAAGGCAAAGAAAGGAGCAAGAAACACACTGAGAGCTGGGGGCAGGTCAGTTTTCAACTCGCAGGAGTAGGGAGACCTCATAAGAAACTGCCACACAGCTCCGTCATTCTCAGTGAAAAAGTAAGACAACAGCTATAAATCATCTTCACACTGTGGTTCTGCACTCAGTGAAGGCACCAAGAGGCCCCCAGGGTTTCTCCAAAGCTTCTGAGCCATTTCTGTGCATAACTCATGGGAGTGACTGAGGGCAGAGATACAACAGATTCTGGGTTTTGGGCAGTCAGAAAGGGACCTATGCAGAAGCAGCTGAGAAAGTCCATATCAGCCAAATCATTAGGCTAGGAGTAAGGGCTCTGCTAAAGATAATAATCGGTGTTGTTTACCTCGCCAGCCCTGGAAATCTTGCAGCAGAGTCTCCTGAATAAATGTTATAAACTCTTACAAGTGGCATAAAGATATAACAGGGAGAAGAGGCCCCACTGGTAGATGCCATTGGGCACAGAGCAGTTTCTGGAAGGCCTGACTTGGTGCTGGGGCGAAGGGCTTGGGATGCTCAGGGGCCACGGGCAGGTGAGGTGGYTGGAGAGGCAAAGCTCACGGGGGCAGCAGGCACTGGGATCCTAGCACTTGAGTGCCAGAAACCAGACTGCTCAGATCATCAATCCATACCTAAGCTCAGGATAAACGTTCTCCAGGTACCACTTGAAGCTGTGGCATTTCAGCTTCTTCCGCAGCTCCACTCTGCTCTGGACACTGTGAGAAGAAAAATATTGTGGAGATGGAAAGGAAATCACGAGGGACAGACACAGATTCCAAAAGGAAAGATGAGAAAAACAAACAAATGTACAGACAGCAAGCACTAGACCATCAGGGGCTCCATTTCTTGCCACCTGCTGCATGAGACTGGCCTGTCATTTTAATCTCTGTCTCTGGGGGTCTCACTTGGCAAAACGGGGTCATGACATTGCCACTCTAACAAGGAGCTTTGAGTTTGATGAGTAAAAAGGCACACAGAAAAGTACAGTCATTTAAAATCGTTAAGTAACAGATTTTTTTTTAACTACTATATACAATAAGCACTAGTATATTAACATACTAGGAAATTAATATATACTATTACAAGTTACTATTAGTTTATAGGACTATAGAAGGCCTTGATTCACAAGAGCACTAAAGCACCTGCTTAAATCCTATTGAACTCAGCAGCACTTGATCACACTGATCACACAGTGAAATCCTTCCTTCTTTCATTAACRAGGGCCAAATTTCTGCTGAAATGTTGCATACATGGACACTTTCTAGGCTCAGTTCTTCTTTGGGTCAGYTTCTACCCATAGAGCTGTTGTAAGGCAGCACTTATGCAACACTGGAAAACCTACAGTATCTTCCCTTCCCATGGTCTGTCTTCCCCCCATCCTTGTTTACTCAGACAGACAGAGCTATTACTTCAGCTCATGCTAACAGATGGGAAGAATATGCAAATCCAGTCAAAATAAGTTAGCCTTCAGGATTTTAATGCACTTTCCSTGGAAGCTGGAAAACAGCCAGAAGAAATTTGTCTCTGGACTTGGAAACTTTCTAAGGAAATAAACAGCATGTGAAAATGMGAAAGTAATACAAATATGTACACACCTCCTGAAAAGGAGAGGTGTCTGACTACTYAAAGAAAGAGTGGCAAATATTTAAAATATAAAACATCTGCTCCTTTCCAATTAAGCCTTCCTGCATTCAGAATAAGCCAGCCTTCCTGCTAGCAAGACCGCTAAACTCTCATCCTAAACTCTCCCCTAGGCCTAGGACAAGTTGAACATCATGTCAAGGACAGGACATGGGCTGAGAACGGTCTTCCCACACTGGTTGGGTTCATTCCCTGAGAGGAACTAGCCTAGCATACAAACTGGCTGCTTATAGGTTTGGCTGCTGTGCTTGAAGCATCTGCCTACCGTTAGCATTTAACTGGGTGTTACTGCAGAAGCAACACAGGCAGGTTTCTGCAGCAAGGGGACGTCAGGGTGAGCATCACTGCAGCAGGCAGCCGGCCCGGGGGGCAGCCGGGGCTCTGCTTCCCACCAGAGAGAGGCACTTACTTTCCATACGGCCTTCCTTGGGCTGCRGGACGAGCCGCGTAGTAGTACTGCTTGAACTCGTCCATCCACACCTCCGCCGTGCGCTTGGTGTTTCTGAGGGAAGYGACAGAGAGAGGTGCAGCCTCTGAGGCGAGGTCCTCACTCTAAAGAGCCACCCTGATCCCACCCTGCTCCCGTCTTTGACTTGATCCTGGCTCAACACTCTTTGAGACAATTCGCTCCGCCCTGCCAGAGTAGAAGCTCCTGCTGCTGCCTGTCACCCCAGGCACTAAGCACAAAACAGGCAAGGAATTTGCCATCCCAAGCTTTAATGGACACTTTGTACCCACTAGACTCACAAGTGCGGCTTCTCTTCCTTAAGTACCACCTCCTAGGCAGGCATTCTTTGGCTTTTACTTAGCAAGTGGGATGGAGCTCTGAAAAGCAGTGCAAATTTTGAACGGATTGAAGCCAAATATTTTCTCTGTGCTAATCTTGTATGGACTCTTCTGCTCTTTGCACTCCTGAATCTCACTGGGCATAATTTCAACATTCAAAACTCATGAGAAGCCACCCCAGGTACAGTGCTACACCAAATACATCATTTTTCCATGTGAGACAGWTGCACAGAGAAGGTTTATGAACCTTAGAAAACCTTCTGGCAGCTTGCGATGGCTTCAGGTCTCCCTGCAAATGGCTTTGTTACTCTATAGCTATCCTCTCATCTCTCAGGGCCCAGGATATCCTCCTTCCAGGCAGTGCTCACAAGCTGACACTACTGTGCCACCAGGCTGTGGACACCCAGGGCAGGTTCTGAGTCCTGTGGGGCACAGAACAAGTGATAACCCTTGTGTGAACCCAGCATGACGTTGGAGCCTGAGCTGCTTCTTGCACAGTTGTGCAAGAAGACACTGTGGAGGGGAAAAAAAAATATCAATATTCATCAGAAACATACAGATATTTTATTAACATCTCTGTTTAAACAGATACCTGAAGGCACACAGAGCATCAGGTTGCCAGAATCTGTTCCTCCTCTCAGTTTATACACTATTACATTAAGTTTAAGGCAGATAGGTACCATAAASTAAATCAAAACCCAGCCTTCTAATGCCTACAGACAGGTAACTCCAGGACATGTAACCCAAACCCTTCCTRATTCACGGTCCTTCTTGTTCTTTCTCTAAAGTCACTGAATTAGTCTAAGTGCTCTTGCAGAAGAATTATTTAAATTACAATATGTACGCACATACCTAACCTTTCTCAAATTGCAGGTTATTTTTGTGTGGCTTCGTGATCTCCTTTTGGTTTACAGGAAACATGGGAGTAAATGCCAAGGTTTACATCTTGGTGTTGCTTCAAATCTCACCAAAATCTAGGGGCCTGSGGTATGAACCAGAAAGCATCAGCCCATTTAAGTTCCCCTTGCTACTCATGCAGGTGGTATAATACAAGACAATGTGTCCATACTGTTTATGAGCAGTGGAGCTCTGGCCATATCCCAGCCTTTAAAGCACAGGTCTTATTTCCTTACTGAAAACAAGATCCTCCATGGTGTTCTCCAAACTGTGCCCTGCCCCTGCACGTCCACAACACCCTTCTCTCCTCACTGCCATGCTGTTGAAGCAGGGTGATAGAGAAGCCACCTCTGGTTACACATCTGAAAACTGCCTTTCCTGCCCCATATGCTGTGAAGATGGAACTCATCTCCTGGGTATAATGTGCAATTTTGCACATTATATCGTTGCAATTTTGCAATGATGTGCACTTTGCATTCATTAGCTTGTGCAAAACCTGGGGAAGATGCAGAGAGAATAGGTAAGTGGTAACCTGCTGCAGGCAGCGCAGCTGGGTGTTCACAATGTTGTCAACTCTTTCTATAAAACTAGGAAGCCCACATGAAAAGGAGCTCCTGTTGTGCAAACACATATAAATGCAGTTTATCTGAGAAATGATCCCGTACTAAGCATAAAAACGGACRGTGTTTGTTATTAACTTAACAGACAAACTTCAGCCCGGAGCTCTGAGAAACGGAGGAAATCCCTTCCTTACTTCATTAGCTCTTTCCATCATTTCTCCCCAATTACTTTGTACTTCTGGACTGCCTCTTTCCTTGGACATCTGTCCTCAGGACTTATCCCATCTTAGCTGGCCGTTACAAAACTTGTTTCTGCTTCTGTTCCTGCATGTGAAAAGCTTCTGTGGGCCCTTGGATTCCAGGGCCTGGGCTCATCACCCTCAGGCCACGTACTTTGCTTTGGTCCAGGAGAGTTCTGCTCACGGATTTTTCCCAATGTTTCAACCAAACTTTTTCCACTATCTCCTCCACTCACCTTCTAACAGGCAAGCCCTTCTCACAAGTCAGCACTTTATTCCACTTCACAAAAGCAAGGCAAGTGCAAAACACCTACTTAATGTACGTGTTGGCATTTCCCTCTGGAAAGACGTATGGGTGTTTCTTCCGGAAGACATGTCCAACGCGGCTGCAGGGGATAATTTCAAGGCTCCCTCCACACATCCACACACGGAATGAGATTTCTACAAGAAAAGCAGCTTCAGCATTTTACATTTCTATCCCAGAGCAGGGTGGGGATCCTGGTGTTATCTCTCATTTCGTCCTCTGCCACATTAAACTGGGGTAAATCAATTACCAGAGGGGCTTTCCTAAGCACAGCTCTCTTGAAAGTGCATTTCAAAGCTTCTTACAATTTGTTTGAAGTTAGCGGACTTGAAATCTGCCTATTGCCCAGCAGGTGCTATCACAATGGGAACAGCTACATGTAAGTAGGTGCCTTTATATGCAGCACAGCTTCCACCTCAGAATCTTCTTGCTATGTTGTGCTCCTGTAATTACTTCTGCACTGCATATTTCAGCAGCTCTTTCCTCGACGGGGCTGTCAAGTCCACCCGGAGAGACCATGAATTCTGTTTATTAATGACTACCACGATCATTATCTTTTATGAATCCAGGCCTGATTCTGCAAAGTGAAAAGGGCTGTGCATCCATCACCTGCTCCAGAACAGGCAGGAGCTCACCCTGGGCAGCACGCTCTCAGGTGAGCTCCAACACTGCACACCAGCAAGCACATGCACTTATAAGCAAAGGACAGTGTTGGGAAGGACTGTTCCAAAAATCAGGGTAAATTGTCACTTCAGGACACGTCTCCTGGTTGCCCGAAGCCACTTTCTTACTGTTCCACTAGCTTTGGCAGGAAAAAGTCTGTAGCACAACTGACATCATGAGTTATTGGGCTCTTGGTAGGTAACCATCAAGGTAATATGGATGAGCAGAATGGTTTATCTAATGGGTCTATCTGGTCTTAATGTCTGTGAAACCATGAATTCACAGCTACATYGCCAGTTAGTCATGCTTAGACAGAAACAGCAGCGTAAGGAAATGAAATAAAAATATCTTTGCAGTTCTTTGCATCCTGTTTATGACTTGCTGACAGCACGGACCGACACTTAGCTCATATCTACTCCTAAACTATAAACTCTCTTCCCTCCGCCTACATATTTCATTACAGAAGTCAGAGAGGAGGATACCCGCCAGCTTTGCACTCTCTTTTCACACACTAGCACTGCGGTAGCTCTTCCTCAGCCTGGATCCTTCCGGCTTTTCAGGACTGCTGCGAGGCAGGCTGACTCCTTGTCCCCTCCGAGCGGGCAGTGCCTACCTGCCAGCCGCCCTGGCACAGAGCTGCCCCTCCTCAGAACATCGCTCACAGCTCTGAGCGTCTCTTTTGGGCTGTTTGGCCTCAAACTTGGTGTTTGCAGCTCCCAGGTCCTCTGCTCCCAAGACAGCCTGCTGCTCCTGAGGCGATGGAAACTGGTGGCCAATGTGGCCACAGAGCCTCAACCTAATTCCTGGGTCCAAAATTCAAAGCTTGGGCCATCGCTAATACCTGGCACAGGCAGAAGACACTAGCGAAGGCTGGGGTGGGAAAGCATAGAAGGGAGGGAAAAGGAACAGCATTTTTTTACTCCCTTTACTTAAAATCCCTTCCTCTTTCCTTCAGTGCTATGTTAACAGGAGCCACAGGAGCAGCTGGAGCCTCACAGCTTTTCCCAAGCACTAGGTATTAGCAAGCCAATAAAACATGACCTTGTGCCACGTCCTAGCGCTATGTTGGGAGCAACCTTAATCACAGCTGCAGGGAAATGAGATTATGGCAGGATTTGGCCACTCTAAGCTGTTGCACTCAGTTCTCCTCACATGTGGCTCTTGCTCCTTATCTGCACATCACAATGCTGTCCACACCAGGAGCATAGAAGCAAATTAGACGGGTGTGCTGATAAAAGGACACAATTAGCTGAGCAGCTGTGAGCTGATGTGTGGACACTGCATCAGGCCTTCKCCTCCTCTGGTCCTTCTGTTCAACCTGCAGCTCTCTCGAAAGCTACAACAGCAAGGCTTGCACAGTCCAGTCCTTGCCTGCTCATAATTTAAGTCATAATGAAGAAGCAGGTTGAAGTGATCTCTGTACACTATGGTTTGGAATGAAAACACAGCTCTTGAGAGACTGGAGATGGTGAGGAGGCGAAGCTTTCTGCTTCGACAGATTTGTACTCTGCAGACCCTGCTCTAATCCCAGAAGAGGCAATTAAAGCATGGTTTTCTATCAATAGAAATGACCCACAGACCCATCCCTGGCAACTAACAAGCAAGGAGAAGGTAAAACAATCACGGCAATTCATATAAGTCGGAAGACCAGGAACCAGGATAGCACTTCCTCTGATCAGGCAGAGATATCTYCAGTGTAGATGGTCCCTCTGAGCTGGATCCCTTCATATGCTGAGGAGACATACAGGCGAGCGGGCAGCTCACCTGGACTCTTTGAGGTGGCTTTGTTAGCATGCAGCAAGCTCTTGAAATTTGAGTTTTGATTTTGCTCCTGCAAGACTTGCCCAGTTCTCTTTATAGATCTTTCAGAGATMTGCCACAAAGCCAGGAGCTCTGCAGCTTCTCTCAGTGGTAACCTGGCCAAGCAAGGGTCTCCTGCCGTGACAGAGCAGTCTTGGGTGAGCAGCCACCTCTGTTCATACCAGTATCACTAGCTGCATTCCACAGGGCATCAAGCTGTGCAGAGTGCAAGGCAGGTAAAGAGGGACAGACAAATGTAGATGTCTGGTAGCAGTGACTGCATGGTAGCAATGGCAACAAATTCAAGACACCTTCCCCATCAGCTCTTCTGACATTCCTGCTAGACCAAGATTGCTCACTGGCTGATAMGGAGCGAGCTGGTGCCTCCTTCCACTCATGAAAAATCTATGTATGCCACAGCTGCTAACCACAGAGCAAGGAACATGCTTGGGCCAGAAAATCTAACCCAGCCCTTCTTCATGGAGGGGTGCTGAATTTGGCCTATACTTGGCAAAACAGCAAAACTGCAAGTCCTTCTACCAGCAGTAGCCAACTCCTCTAAAAGTGATTTAATAACTTTGAAAAGTAAAGCACCTGAAATGTCCTTCCTCTATTTGCAAACATAATTGCTTCTGTTTTGCTTCAAGTCTCCAGTCCCCTCTAGGTACTAGGTTAATAAGATGAAAGGGGGAAGCAATGCTCCCCTATGGGCTGCAGTCCTGCACCCACTCAGAACAACTAAGCCACAGGGGAATGCGCATTTGGGTGCAAGTACCCGAAATGAGGAGCTGTTCAGCCAGCTCCTGCCCTGTCTCCTGCCCAGAACTGGCAGGGAACAGCAGGGTCAATCACGGAAAGGAACAAGACACTATGGGAGCAGCACTTGGACTGCTGGAGGTGCAGCTTTGAGCCAGACATGCTCAGSTACACGAAGAGGTTGCTGAAGGCAGTATCTGATTGGAAGACCTCAACTTTTTTGATCTGGTCTCAACTTTTTTATTCCAGTATTAACCTGCCTTGTCTTTTCCCTTTCTCCCACAGGTGCTGGCTGTGGTCGCTGTGTGAGTGGGTCAGAGCCACCGTGTGCCTTGCTTGGTTACACCTAGTCTCAAGGGGAACAGTGCCAGTAATGAAGCATCGTGCTGCGTAAGACAGGCAATAACCACATATAAGGAGTACAGTGCTTCCCAGTGCAGGGCATCAGAGAAGCCCTCATAAACATGCTGGGAACGAGCTTCCCTGGAGGGGAGGCTGCTCTGTAATTGCTCCTTTCAGGGCGCCTTCCCAAAAGCAGCTTGTGTTGGTCACTGTCAGAGACAAGCAATGAGGAGAGAGGGACAGTCAGTCAGATGCAGTGTGGCAGGACCTGTTTTTAATTCCCTTCTCAAGTGTGTTGTTTGGGCCATTGATCCACCAGGGGAGGTGGCAGGGCTGCTCTTCTCTCCTAAATTCCCTTACAACCATGCTGCTCAGAAAGAGCAGATGCTTCAGGTCAGATCAGTGGCAAGCCACCTACCCACAGACAGAAAGCACAGGGGAGAGAGATCCTACTGTGCAACAAGATATAAATAAATAAAATATGTTAGAGGAAAAAGGCATGTGAAGCAAACAACAGTGCCAGGCACTAGATGAGTTACTGAAAGGCAGCAGCATCTGTTCCTTTGGATGACTGACAGTGTGGCTATATGTGTTAAGACACGAGATTTTTTTTCTTCCTTGCTAGCCACACTCCCCAGAGGTGCTAGCTATTAAAGCCAGATTCTAATCTCTCTCCCTGACATCAGGTGCCTCCTTCTTCTTTCACAGATACAAGTCTATTGCTCTGATCTGCAGCATCACTACAGCTTCAAAGAGAGAACAGYCCGGCCTGATACAGCTCTGTTACATGGGGGAAAACGGACGGGCTGTTACCCCTTTGAACAGTCCTGTCAAATTTGCACACAGGAGATTTCTCAGTGCCCACCTAACCCCATGATAATGGGGAGAGACGAATTTAGGAAACTTAATTAAGGTAGGTTTTTAACCTTTTTCTTTTAAGGAAAATCATGTTGCCTCAAAAAGTCCAGCAGCCGTCACCCATCTAGCAATACAGGAACAGAGAGGTGGCCATGATACCTTCTCATGGTTTGCAACTTGCCAATGGAGCTGCTGTTCCAGGCACTCTGTAGATTCAGAGGGGCTCTAATGCCTTAGCTTACAGTTTTGAAATGCTGTCTTCAAATGTCAGAATATCTTCATCTTATTAATGAAGAAATAAGATCACATGTGTGGTGCTTTCTAATCTGTTGAAGGGACTTTTCCAAAGCTGAAAAGCTGTGATATTTCCTTACAGAAAATCAAAACAATATGGAAGATGGGGAGTACTAACAACTAGCAGTTACTCATGTCTCATCATTCATGGTCGTGGATCCCTCCCTCACCCTCACACCACAAGTGCGTACAAGGAAGAAAAGTGACTCACCGAAGTTCTCCCCACCCCAAATGTCCATGGCACTGTCATACTTCCCCAGGTGGTTGAACCAGGCTTTGTCAATCACAAAGAGCCCCCCAGCAATGATGGGAGTCCTGCAGAATTGGGAAGGAAACAGGGGACATTCAAACACTGCTGCAGCATCTACATGCAGAGAAACTCTTCCCTTTGCCTCCTGTTCCATCCTCAGAACATCACCTCCATATCTCCCCCTTACCAAACACGACTCGAGAAAGCATCAGTGCCTTTCTTCCCGCTGCCTTGGTATTTTGCTGTCAGTCATAACTGCCTGGCACTTAATGACTGCCTAATGCACGCATCAGCACAACTCCTGCAAGCCCCAAGTTCACAGCCCTGATTGTAGGCTTGAGCAGCAGAAATGCACTTAGCGCTCGGGGGTTATTCACATGACATTACTCAGATGGGCTTTTTGCCTGGAGCGAGCCGATTAAGAGCACCATTCCACCGGGGACGGGAAGGCAGAGCCAATTCAGAAGGGCTTTTTAAAAGCCATCACTAGCTGTTTGATCTTTATTTCAAAACAGGKGTATTTCTCATTCTTTGGATTAGCTGAGAAACGCAGCATAGAGAAGGTATGCAGAGGAGGGGAGGGTGGATCCAGAAGAGAACTTTAGGAAGCACTACTTGCTCAGATGAGTCCTGTTTCCATGAGCCCAACTCATGTATTGCAGCTGCAAATAACAACAGCTTAGTGTAATCTCAGGAGGAGCTGGCATGGCCTCCTGCACCCTGATGAGTCCCCACGGTGCTCTCTACAGGGCAGGATGATTAGGAACATGAGATGAGCCCTTGGGAGGCCAGCGAGAGCTCTTGTTAACAGCAGCAGCATCGTAAGAAGAAATAAGGCTCTGTTCCTCTGCAATAGTTCCTCTGGCCAGTTTTCTGGCACTCTGCACTCTCTGCAAGACCTCATCTCTTCAGTGCTGCACACCCCAACAGCATCATTGCTCGTCAGAAGGATCACTGGGATGCCAGTGACCAGCACATTTCCTCTATCCCAAGAGATGCAGGCAGATGTTACCTTTCTTCTCTTTTTTTTTGCTATCCTTCTGCACATCCTGACTTTCTGAACAGCCTTCAGTCAGGTCCCAAAGAGCAGTGTTCACCTGGAACCACATTTTTATCAAGCTGCCTGAGAACACTGCCTTAGTTTTAAGTGGTAGCTGAACTGTGAGAAGTAGGAGTAAAGATCAATAGGTTTTTCCTAATGATTCAATCTAATTAGATTCAGTCCTAGCTTCACTGCTACCAAAAAACAGGCAACCATAAATATGTTCTATCTTTTCCTCACAACCCTACAACCACCTCAAGCTTCACTGTCAGGAAGAAGGTGAAGCTGTATTGCAAAATCCAAGCTTGTTTAAACTTGCAATATATATAAATACATATAAAAAGTTCAGAGTTGGCCTGAAACATGTGTCAGTTATGCTACAAGGTGACTTTTACAAAGCTAAACAAGACACTCATCTGTCCCTCTTTCCCCTTCTGAACTTACTTAATGGGCTCGGTGGGATCAAGTCGTTTGGCTTTCTGCTCTGGGGAAAGTTGCTCCCATCTGAAATGCAGACTCCAGTCAAAACCTAAAACGAAAGCAGAGAAGAACCACAGGGAAATTAAAATTGGGCACAGATTAGGAAACAATTCCATTTCTCTGGATGTAGAAGATGTGTTTTGTGAAGTTATTTTCTCCACTTTTAAATGACTCCAGCCATGGAGATGCAGCTCTTGGGAGATGAGTCCAGTGACTAACATATTTTACTACTGCATGTGAAAGAAAAACAACACATTACAATTGCAAAGTCAAGCACTCCAAAGACTGGAAAAGTCAGAATTAAAGCTGCTGATGAAACCTTACTTTGTCCCCTTGTGCATATAGACACATGCTCTGATGGATATTACATGCTACAAATAGCACAGGCATACTAGTAAGTGCTACAGCTGCATCCTCCATTTGTTGCCTAGACATCCCCTGTCTCTCCCTCTTCAGCAACCGGCTTTCAGCGCTGCAAAGCAGAGCTTTGACATGACACTTCCATCCTGCTCCGCTGCCTTATTTACTGTAGCAAACTCCATTCCTCACGTTGTGCTCACCTATCTCCAAAAACTAGCATGAAAATTGCTGGGGGGGAGCACTGAGTGGGGCTAATGCACTTTTTGCCACATCCTCAGCAGCAGGGGTGCAGAGATGCAGGCTGTGCACAGCGACACAGGCGCTGCCCATACTCACCTCCTCTGAGGTCTGAGGAAGCCGCCACATAGGCAAAGGTGTCCAGGTTGATGATGTCAATGACGGGACTGACCACCCGGGTGGGATCCTGGGAAGCAGAAACAGAACAACCCGGGACTTGAGGCCATACGTTGTGACAAAACACACACCGGGACTAGAGAGCGGATATAGGCTTTGTGACCAGTTTCTTTTGCAGAGGTGTCCATCACAGTCACCCCCTTCTGAGAAGTCATGTCAGCTCAGCCAAGGAATCAATGGCAGCATCCCCTAGCTGGCACTGAATTCCCGGGAGAGGGCTCGTGGCCAAGGCAGCAGCTGGAAGGCGTGTGCTTTCTCTTCTAGGAAAGACCTGCATGCTGCTGTGCCAGCAGCTTTCAGAGGCTTTTATTTCACCCACAGCCTCCCATTTCTCCACGGGCTGCGTGCCTGTGTCCAGGACTGAGCTCGGCTGATAAATCCTCAGCTGAATGCAAAGCTCTGTCTTTGCTGATTCAATGCACTCCTCTTTCACCTCCCTTAAATTCTTTTTATTGAGTGTCAAAAGTCAAGTGACAAACAGGCAATTAAAGTGACAGGGGAAAACAGTCCATCAGACCTTTTAAACACAGATATTCGCTTAAATGTACAATTCCTTGAAAACAGTTATAGTCGGTGAAAGTGTGAAGGGGTTAAAAAAAGACCAAAGTTATTTTAAGCAGATGTTGGTGATTTAATTAGGATCTTGTTATGGGCAAAGAGATTATACAAACAGTTACGAACAAAAATATCTATCGGAGGGAAAGACTTTGACAGCTTTGACTGGTCTCTTATCTCCCTTTCTCTTTTCAAAAATCCCAAACTCCAATTATAGCTCCAACCTCAAGCTTTTACCCTCACCAGATCAAATCGCTTTTCACAGCCATGCAAAGGAAGCATCTCGGCACACATGGGCTTGCTCTCTCACTCAGAAAAGACTTTGTTTCAAAAAATAACCCTAACAAAGCAGTACTCAAATGCCATTGTAGGGCTGCTGCAAAGCAGCTGAATGCAAAAGCTCTGCTGGGGAGGTTGACTGGATCTCCAGTTTTACAAATGAGCATGACAAATACCCAGTGTTTCCGAAACAACTTCTAGCCAGAACCCCTGAAGTGACTACGTGGGAATCAAGCAACCCACCGGAATTGAGCACGGAGGGGATCGGTCCAGCTGTGCTGCCTCCGGGAGAGCARGGGGGGCTTCACACCCGTCCTGAGCTGCTTCCCCCGGCTTTGTGAACCGCCTGTCCCTCTCAGTCTCTGCTCAGCGTGCACAAGGGTCCCTTCAGACAGGTGAGTCGGGGGAAAGGTTTTAAGCAAAAAGGCTGTAGGGAAAAACGTAGCTGCTGCGGGCTAAACACCAAACAGGGAAATGATCCTATCTGGTCATTTAACACCTGGACCTGAAGCAGCTTACTGGTGAGCACTAATGCATCCCCAGGCTATATGCTGCTCCTGTGCTCTACGCAGCACAGCTTCTTAGAGGAAAATCTCTTTTACTGATCAAAATACCACAGGGGTTTAACTTCAGTCATATGACCACCTCTGTGCCTTAGCTTCCCTGCTGTCAGTTTTCCTGACTGTCTGTCTGACCCTCAACAGAAAGGCACTGGATATTCAAGAGCCTAGCTCCGATGCTGTTACTTGTGCTAGGCCGAACATCAGGCTTTGTTGTAAGCAGCTTCACCTTTCTCATTTTCACACATTGTTTAATCTGGGCTGCAGTCTGGATTGTGTGTTTACATTCACAACCTTTCACCCAAAAGCGGTGAAAGGTTCAACCAGACCTTTAACTTCCTTTCCCGTGAAATTTTTAAAAACATGAGACTGCGTTTCTCCAATATAACTCTCAAACAAGCTAATCTGTGAAACTAAATCAAGAGGACAAAGTTCTAAAGCCAAGTGATATGTTTCAAAGGAAAAGGAACTTAGCTCTAGCTTACTACAGGCTCCTAGTTGCTACACCCACTGCCCTTGGTCACAACGGTCTAGAACAACAACAAAATAGCTGGTCAACAAATACTGGTCACACCTTGGTCTCCAGGTGAATTGGGTAWGACGAGAGCAGAGGCTGCTCCTTGTGCAGGGGAGGTCATTGAGCTAGTAAAAGCAGGAGGTTGCCAGCCACRGATTCAGCAAAAGCCATTTTTAGGGGCAAGTTGAATGATTTCTACCAAAAAAAAAAAAAGTCTCGGGCTTGACAACTACATTTTTAGAAACATTATTCGCTCAATTATCTCTATTTGTTCCATAAGTATAAACAGAAGGAACCAGTTTGTGCCCACAGATTTGGAGCCACACGCTCACAAACACGTTTGTGAAACACGGGGGCAGCCGGGCCACCGCGCGTGCCCCGGCACAGGCCGCGGCCTCCACCAGGGCCACCGCGCGTGCCCCGGCACAGGCCGAGGCCTCAACCAGGGCCGCCACATGCACCGGGCACAGGTGGCGGCCTCCGCCGGGGCACATCCCCCACACGGTGCGCGCATCTCCTCAGGCAGCTCCTCTTGTGTCCCAGGCTCCAGCTGTGCATGGAAACCAGCGGGAATAGTGGCTTTCTCTGAGGAAAGACATGGGAAGCGACGTGCACAGTGGAGGGCAGAGCGTGAGCTTTATCTTGAGGCAGTCGCTATTTGCTCAAAACTTAAAGCAAAGAGCAAAGCGGACTGTCCRTGCTCGCATCCCAGGAGCAAAACCTGTGTGTATCGCTAATCCTGGCTGCGATGCTCTGCCGGGGAACCCTCTTTTGGCACAGCCTGAAGGTGGCAGCAGGAACATGTTGTACAGGTCACTGATCAGTGCTTTAACCCTGGCAGCACGGGCAGGGTGGGCTCCTGCCCTTACCCCGCAGCTTTCCCAAATTACTAAACTACAAACAGGGGCAACTAAAAGGAAGCAAAGTGCATTTTCAGACCCRTGCCCTGCGCTGGCCTGCTTTCCCAGCCCTGCACATGACTGTCACAGACATTCCTCAGTCCCTCATAAAATCCCTTGCTCTTTCCATGGGGCAGCTAGGTACTTTCCTTCAGAGTTGGGCAGAGAGGAACCTCATGAGGTTCAATAAGGACAAGTGCAGGAGGGGGAGGGGAGGAATAACCCCAGGCATCAGTACAGATTAGGGGTGGACCTGCTGGAAAGCACCTCCACGGAGAGGGACCTGGGAGTCCTGGTCGACACTAAGTTAACCATGAGTGAGCAGTGTGCCCTCGTGGCCAAGAAGGCCAATGGCATCCTGGCCTGCATCAGGAGGAGCGTTGCCAGCAGGTCAACGGAGGTGATTCTGCCCCTCTACTCAGCTCTGGTGAGGCCGCACCTGGAGTACTGTGTTCAGTTCTGGGCACCCCAGTATAGGAGGGACGTGGAGCTTCTGGAGAGGGTCCAGAGAAGGGCAACCAGGATGATTAAGGGAATGGAACATCTCTCRTATGAAGAGAGGCTGAGCGAGCTGGGCCTGTTTTCTCTGGAGAAGAGACGGCTCAGAGGGGATATGATTAATATGTATAAGTTCAGGAAGGGAGAATGCAGGGAGGAAGGGGACAGGCTGTTTTCACTGGTGGCCAGCGATAGGACGAGGGGTAATGGCCACAAACTGAAGCATAAGAAGTTCCGTCTCCAGGTGAGGAGCAACTTCTTTACTGTGGGGGTGACAGAGCAGTGGAACAGGCTGCCCAGGGAGGTTGTGGAATCTCCTACTCTGGAGGTCTTCAAAACCCGCCTGGATGCCACCCTGTGCCACATGCTCTAGGTGTGCCTGCTTGAGCAGGAAGGTTGGACTAGATGATCTGTAGAGGTCCCTTCCAACCTTAAATATTCTGAAATATTCTGAAAACCCTGGAAGGCTCTGCCTGGAGCACCCAGTCCCAGTCTAACTACAGTCCTCACTGCTCCTCCACTGCTCCCATTGCACTCGCTGGCTCTGCTGCCAGTTTAACCCGCTGGACGAACTGCCCTGAGGGGCTACCGTGAACCCCACGATGCTGCCTCTGCCTCCCAAACCAGGATTTTAAAACAGGGCTTTTCTTTAACTCCTCAAATCTCAGCAACCTCATTGGGTTTGAAGGCCCCACAGTGCTCTCCACAGCAAGTCACACAATCATAGAATCATTACGGTTGAAAAAGMCCTTCAAGATCATTAAGTCCAACCGTGTTTATAATGTCCTCATGGTGACTTTTGGCTGGGCTGTGGAATGCCGGACATGGTAAGTACAACAGGAGCAATAGTGCAGGCTGAACATGGAGCTGACCCTTACTTCCAGCTGGAGAAAACATTAACACAGAAGAACAAATAAAAGGAAGCTCACAGAGATTATGTTTGATTTTAATAATCCATTCAGACCATGATGCCACTGATACAGTTCAACAAAGCTGTGTGGCACTGCTGTATCCACCACCTCACTGCACTGAGGGACACCCAGCTCTGCCCACCTCCTCCTTGTGAATCTGCCTTCCTCCTGCCATAACGCATCAAAGCTTTGCCTGTAAAACAGGCAATTGCTCTTCATATTCCCCCTGAAACACAGCAGAGTGGCAGCAGAGAACAAGAAGAGCTTTCAGGGGAAATGCCTGTCTTTAAAAAAACCTCCAAAGAAACTATCGATGCAATAAACTTTAGTGGTGAAACCCGCCTTTAGGCAGGCCAGCTACAGGGGCTTGAGTGGAATTTCATAGCGCATGTTCTCATATTTCCACAGGAGCTACAATCAATAATACAAAAAGGCCATTTTCATTATATTGCCATTTATCAGGAGTGCTGTGGTCCCGCCTGCAAGCCAAGACTGGGAGCTCTGTAGCACTGGATGTGCTACGAGTACAAACAGCACCGGCTCCCAGCACTCACAGCTAAAGGAGTCAGCCTGCTCCCGTTTCCCTCCTTCCCCCTCTTCCTCAAGTGCCCTGCACAGGCGAAGGCACAGCCCACCAGGACAGGCACCGCAGTGGCAAGGTGTAGAAAGCAGGATGACTTGGCAAGGATATGGTGGACACTAGCTGGGTAGGTTTCTCTATAACCTAGGCCCATACATACCTCATTTCATCCACCAGCCACAGTAATGGTGCTGGATGAGGTTATCCCTGCTGGCCCATAGTGACAGAGCAAGAAGAATCAAGGGACAGAGCAGGGAAAAACAGTCAAAGCACGGATGCCCTTGATAAACAGTGAGTTTTCCTGTGGGCCCATCCCTCATCAACATACCAGCGAAGCTGCATGCACAGACCTCAATCCCAGATACATCTGTCAGTATTTTTTAACCTCTACTTCATGGAGATGGAGTAAAGCACGGTGAAGGAAAGGTTCCTAAGTGTAAGCTGGAGCTGAAGGCTTCCTCACCAGGACACAGATCCTTGTGCCTTGAGTGACAAGATGCCAAGGGCCTCTGTGTGCACGGCTGATGAGAGAGTTGCCTCCAGAGAAAGGGGAATGTCATTGTCTGCTGTGAAATCAGCAGAATTTAAATCCTATTAAATCAATTTATTAGCACTTAATTTGCATGAAATTAAATTCGGCCCCTATTCAAGGAGCCGTCACTCCCCTAAATCATCAGCACTGAGCATTTTCCCTGAGCCTAATTAAAAAGTCTCCTGGAGCAATGCCCACCTACTCCCCTTTGAACATTCAACCTGTGCTTCCTGGTTATTGCCTGGCCGTCCCAGGAGGCGCCTACTCTGACCTACCTGCACATCTTCTCTCCCTTCTCCCAGGAGAAAATCCTGCCTGCCTCTTGAAAGCCTGCGTGGAGGGATGTATGTGTTTATATAGAAGAGGACAGAGGGGAAGAGTTGGAGAGACCACAGCAACACTTATTCTACAGGGCCCTGATCTCCCAGGACCACTTACCTCTTTGATCCTCTGCAGCAGAGGCAGYAACCAGTCCTTATTCACCTCGCAGTGACTGTCTAGGAAGGTCAGGACTCCTGCTTGTGCCACATCTGCTCCTCGGATACGGGACCGGATGAGACCTATTGAGGGACACCCAAGTCAGCTCCTACCCACATGCATGGGGAATATCCCCAAGTAGTCTTTCAGGCAACTCCTTCAGTGCTGTCTTGCTGCACTCACACTTCGCTCTATTGTTGACCCATCTGAATGTCACTGGGGTGAAACATGATTCTGGTGCATTACTCACCTCCTAGCACTTCCCAAGGCACAACAACCATTTCTTAAGGTCATCAGAGTAAATAAATAGCTCCACCCAGATTAATGATTTATGGCATTGGTGCCAATTCTTAATTTGTGTAATTATTTCTGCTGTCATCTTCTGGGGCAAAATAGAATTTGAAATGCTTCCATAACCACCCTGCAAGCAATATAATCTAATGCAAACACGAGTCAGCTGGGAATGGGGCAGGCACAGCAGCTACAAATCCTCCAGAAGAGAATCATGGATCTGCTGTTACTCTGTCTCAGCACCRCACATGAGCATCACATACACAGAAGCAAATTCCTTAGAAGCTCATAGGCTTGAGTGCACCCATATTTGTGAGTGAAATCCCAAGAGCTGTCAGTGGGGAGCTGATGGAGGGATGCTTAGTGCCAGAATTACCTCTCTCTCAGACCACAGACTTTCCACTAAAGACGTGCCCACTTCTGTGTCCTAGTGAACTCCCCCCTGCRTCTCTCTGCTACCCTTGGGCACTGCTGACCTGTGGGTCAATGGTAATGCATTCTCTGCCAAGGTGCAGAGAATTCTGCCACTTCTCAAGGTGCTAAAAGCCTGCTCAGTTCATCAGCATGCCTTATGGTGAACTTAAAAAGTCTTTGTGAGTTTGCTGATGCTAGCAATGGATTTCTATGGGATTTTGGGGGGCAGAAAAATGAACAAGAAGGGAAGGTATAGAAAACACCTGGACACATGGATTTCTGACTAGATTCTTTAACAAGCTTGTGCCTCCTAGAGTCCTTTTTCTAATCATTGCACAGCTCCCTGGACTGCTGTATGGGACAACAGCTATTTCTACAGGACTTACCAGACTTTTCAACACTCAGCCCGCCTGTGGCCTGTTCTGAAGGGAACTTTAGATTCAATTTACCTCCTAAGGAGAAGGGCCCTTAGCTATCAGCAGGAGCCTCACATTACTGAAGGGGAGCCAAGCTTCTCAATGAAGGCAAAGCAGTGCTAACATGAAAGGAGATAGGAGCAAATGGAGAGAGAGATRGAAGTGTTTCAAGGAAAGGAACGCATCTGGGACACAAAGGAGTCCATGATATTGAGATATCGAGACTGACTATGATATTAAAATTCCTAGAGGAGAAGGGCCAAGGGACAGTCTCAGAGCAGAAGGGAGAGAGGCAGAACAAAACTTGGAGCAATATGGTGTTTGCTGGAGGTGACCTCCTGCAACACTCTGTCCCCAYGTTACTCTCTGCAACCTCTATCTCAGCCTCAAGATCTCTGAGCAGACAGGCTCTGCTGCATCTGTCCCACCCCTCCTCAAGTCCCAGAAGGCCCTAAGGAAGACAGATTTAGATATGCGTTAAGTGAGGCAGGTCTTCCAGCCTGGCTTCCCAAATCCTGAATGCTTTATGCAGCATCACTACCTCTCAGTCTCTTCAGTGCTGGAAGACAGCAGATATGCCTATCAGTGTGCATCCCAATTAGACAAGAGAGRAAAGTAGGAATGAGGCATGGAGCTATGGAGACATCCCCTATTSTCCTGCCAACCCAGATAACTCCTCTGTATCAACAAGGTGACAACATATTGATACTAAAACTCTARAAAAATAATACACTGAAAGCCCTCTCCATTCTTCATACTCCCCCAACCTGTGCATCCTTATCCATGCCTTTGATTTTCAATATGAACTTATTTTTTTYGTTCTCCTAATACTGCCAAGCAGGACTTGAAAATAACCATTCAGACTCCAGGGAAGAACAGGAAAATATCTCAAGGGGTTGCCAGCAGTTGCCCACTAAAGTATATATCCATCTTCCATATAGATCTTCTTAATCTTTCAAATATAATTAATTATACTTTTTTAAATTCCCACAGAAGCAGCAGGAGCAGATCTCATCTGTTTCATTAGAACAAACATCTTTAAAAAGAAGACCTGGGGCTTTGTTTTGCCTGTTCTAATTTTCTGGCTAATAAGCTACAGCTGAGCCTCATTGGATATCTTAATAGCCTCATCTTTTTAAAGAGGGGGAGGGGGTGGTGATGAAACAATTTCCAATCCCCATATCCCTCTGCGAGGTCCCTTTACCTGCCCCTGTTTGCAGGAGTGAGCGGCCCTCCCTTGTCACCTGCTCCACAGCAGTTTGGTGTCCCCCCGACCATCGCTCCCATCGCGTTGTCCACCATGCATCCCAGGCTTGGCCAGCAAAATCTTACCTTCTCGTTGTCCATTCCGTAAGCATTTCACCTTAGGAAGCTTGCCCAATAAGCGGCAGTCATCAGCTTGGGGAACACAAAGGGAGGCATGAAACTTAGCAGCACATGGATTTTRGCTTTTGTGGAACAAATGGTCTCCTAAGAGAAATTAGGAGCAGGGAGAGGCCCACATTGGGGTCTGACTGGCTGTTTTTTTAGAGTGATGGCCCTTCTAGTACACAGTGATTTTATCTTTCATGCTCACACAGTATAAATCAAGACTGACACAGCAGCAGCCCAGTTATAAAACTAGTGTTAACCTGACAGATTTACATAGACTGACTATAGTTGAATTATGCTATAAAGTCAGTGTGAAAGCAGAGCAGAGACTGAGGTCGGATTCAGATCTTTTGCATGTTAAATGTCACTTTCGTCCTGCTTTGGCAACCTTTGCTTACAGACACCTCATCATACTGGTACACCACGTAACATACACAGAACTGTGGTTTTAAGACTGAAGTTTCCAGGTTTCTCAGGACCGTGTGTGCACATGGCTGTGTGTGCGGTGTCTGCGGGCAAACAACTGCATCTGAGTGAATAAAAGGTCAATGAACCGACGGAGGTGAGAAATGAGATGCAATTGAGCACAAGATAAAAGTTCCGATTGCTTGGAGTGGGTCATAGAGGAAAACTGACTGGGCCTATACTGTATTATGCAAATAGATGTATTTTATGTAAATACATGCATTATATATATACACCAAGGGGCTATCACAGCAAAGCGGGGACAGAAGTAAGACATGAAGGAAGTGCTGTTTTCAAGTAGCCAAGAGGCTGCTCTAAGTTATGTGGGAAGCAGATCATCCGCTGGAGCTGTGGGAATCTCTGCTCCTTCTCCCCAGCTTGTGCCATCTGGCATGCTGGTACAGGGAAGATGGATTCCTACAAAGCTTCCTCTTTCAGGAAGGCTTTGTACTTCTAGCCAAATAACTGTCATTTATTTTCTCCACCCTTTCAAAAAAGCTTGTTCTGCTTGAATTCCAGGGCAACTCAAGCCTTTGCACCTGCTCCTTTTCTCCTCAAGAGCTGCTCTGCTTGTTTCTAGACTCGTCCAGCCCAGCCTCCAGTGCTTTGGAGGCCCTCCAAAGCTCACTGCAATCACTGGAAACCTCTTCACTGGCATCAGTGACTTCTGAGTGAGACCTCAATGCAGGAGACAGACAGATGAGAAGTGGCTCTGCTGTGAAATCTGTCCCTAATGTTCTCTGACGCAGAGCCTATTTATAACATCCAAGAGCAAAATGTGGATACAGTTTTTTCCTTTTTTAAAAATCCTCTCTGTTTCCYTGTTCCCTAGCAAATGACTATATTTTGCAGCTCCCTGAAATATAAGTGCCATGGACCACTCAACTTCAGCATATTTTAATATCTCTTTTACGCCTAAGGCAGTTATTTGAGACACTTGCTCCATGCAACCTGGATCTCCCACTTGTTCTTCTCCCTGGGCAAGGTCTTCAGCTGTGGACACTCAGGGCAGTTCCCTAGAAGCCTCTGGGGCTTTGGCCATAGACACTTCCTGCAGGTGGGACCTATTTCACACTGTTGATAGGGGAAAAACAGGAGGAAGACTTGGGCTGTCTGTCTCGCACTGCACCCTTCCTGATGAATTTTAGGTATCATAGAACCATTACGGTTGGGAAAGACCTTCAAGATCATCGAGTCCAACCRTAAAGCCTCCAACCTCCTAAACCATGTGCCTAAGTGCCCCTCATCTACACGCTTCTTGAASCCTGCCGGGGATGGTGGCTCCACCACTTACCTGGGCAGCCTGTTCCAATGCTTCACCACTCTTTCCATGTAGAAATGCTTCCTAATGCCTGACCTGAATGTTCCCTGGTGCAACTTGAGGACATTTCCTCTTGTTCTACCTGTAGTTATCCTGTTCCCCTCCTCTCTACACCAGTGCTGCTGGCCATTTATGTAAGTGTACATGGAATAAATGTCAGTAGGCTCAGATTATCCCAGAGGAGGAGTCACACAAAAGATCTCTTGGGTAGTTACAAACGGTGTAAGCCCAGAAGTGCTCCTAGCTGCATTTGAGACTCTGATTAAAGGTACAAGAATTGCTGCAGGAGTTAAGAGATGGAATCATGTCTCCTGGTCAAAGAAATAATTTGTCTTTTTTTTTTTTTTTTTTGAGTATCATTTTCATTAGAACAGGTTTATTATTCAGAATTTGAATTTGTCTGGCACCAAAGTAAACCTAGCTTGGCAAGATCTCCCTCTTCCCTCCCCATCCACAGAACTTCAAATTTCCTTTCAGTTCAACATACTCTTCCCCCCTCCACTTCTCCATGTAAATTCCAGCCTCTCGTGGTCTCTTTTGGTTTGCCCCTTTGCTTTTAACATACAAAGAATCACTTACGATCATCGCTGAAGTCATCCACTAGTATGATTTCATGGACGAGATGCACCGGCGTGCGGTTCAGCACACTACAGAATTAAGAGAGAAAATCCATGACAGGGCTTGACCAACACAACTCAGTAAATATGGAACCAGCTGGGGACTTGGAATCAACCCTTGCCAAAGCACAGAAGATTTGTGTATCTAGTAAAGATATACCTGCTCTACCTTTAGCGTGAGCAGAGCACCCAATCTTCTTCAGCCACAGATGAGCTTCACCCTTACCTTCTCTGTGAGCAAAAGCCAAAAGAGGCAGGGAGAAGTGGGCTTCAGGTATACACTTATTGCACAAAGTTAGTTCCATGAAAGGACTTAGGCCACAGCTGCCACCACTCTTCCATCTCTTGCCATCGCTCTTCCACCTCTTCTTGTGCTAATGATAACTTACCGATAGCCTGACCAAYGCAGAGCAAAATTACCCTGGTGATAAATTACCATCTTTAAAAAGCTCGCAGCCCTGGCAGGACTACTGCCATTTCATTTGTGCACTGCTTGTATTTCAAAGAGTGCAAAGAGGATAAGAGCAGGGTTTTAGCCTGCCCATTTAATGAAAGAGAGTGGAAAAAAGCGGTTCTAAGCTCCCTCCAGGAAGAGAGCTATTGTGAAACGTGGCTGAAAGCTGCAATCTTCCTATATTTATACTACCAAGATTTTATTATTACTAAAAAGGCTGGACCTGCTCTTCCCTCTCCTCGCAGCTTAGAGAAACCAGTTGCACCAGAAAGCGTATAAAATCCTCCCCAGCAAAGGGTAAAGGCTGACCTTGTGAAAGGAAAACATCTGCTGGTGCAAACAGGTACATGGTACTGGCATGAAGGTTTTACACTAATGTGGGCATTCATAACACCTGGCCCATAGGGAGTGTAAAAACCTTCAGTTAGCATATTATACCTTTAGTTACCAACCATTGTACAGTTGAGTTATCCCTACTTAGCTTGTGATTTCTGACACTTGAGACTTTGGCACAGAGACATCTCAGGGCCCATCCCTGCCACACACTATCATTGTTCTGCAATGGTCAGCAGGAGCTGGGAGAGCAAGGTGCTGACCCAAGAGCCAGTGCTGCAGGGTAGGAGCAAAGCATGTGAACTCTAAGGTTGCGATTTTGCAACAGCAAGATGAAATCTCAGTGCATGCCACAGTGCTTGACTGGTGCTTATAAACTCAGTTCAGTTCCGTACTTTGTTCCAGAATTTAAACCCCTTTGCCTTCATCTCAAGTGCAATCCTTTTTCAGGCAGGATTCAAAAGCCCTGCACATTTTGCAGCCACATCTTCACTCACCTTCTGCTCTAGGTTAGAAAACTCRCCAAATCTACCACGGGCATAAGGGGACAGTTGTCTTACCAGCTAACAACCTTGAAGTCACTGGCAAGTCCAAGACCTTATCAACAAGCTTTCCACTCTCTCAGGCTCCCARCCCCGGTGCCCAACAGCCAAGACAGGACCTGGAAGGGTCTCCCAAAGTCTTGCCGAGCTGTGGTAACTTCCCCTGTGTGAAGCGTGAAGTTTGGAGCCTCATGGTCCCCAAAGCCCATCCCTGGGTAGCTTTACCTCAGAGATGAGCCAGTAAAGCTGGATCAAGTCACCTCCAAAACCTGAGTTACTGCTGCCACAGTGATGCCAGAAACAAAGCCCCAGTCACGGAAAAAGCATGGGATCCTGAGCATGCTAGCAGCCTGTGGTGTGTCCTTGGCCCATCCTTTGAGCATTTAGYTCCCCATCAAGCGTGCAGTCCTGCTTGCAGCCAGGGCCCTGCAGAGCTCCCAGTGCTCACAACACCTTGCCATGGCTCGAGAGGCTGCACGGGCTTGGGCACAGCGTGAAATCCGGAGCCTGAGCAGCCACAGAATGACGCCAGCTGACGACCGAGCCTACCATTTACGGACAAGCGTAACCTCCAATGTCAGGAAGCTGKCAAAAGCCATGATTTCCCCTCATTTTGGACACTCCACATGCTAAAGTTGGTGATGAGGGAAGAAATGGAGGAAAAAAAGCTTTTGCCCCCTAAGCATGACTGCACCGGTGACAGCAGGAGCCTTAACAGTGACATGCTGCTGTGCTCACTACTCTCTTAACGATGGCCATACGCAGCCTTCCTCCAAGTGGGGCTAGACAACGCAGCCTTGGAAATGCCAGCAATCAGCACAGAGCATTAGAAAACGTGGCTGACTGCCCCTCCTCCTGCTGGGGCGTGCAGAGCAATTTAGATGTGCTGTTCCCACCTGTCAAGTGTATTTTTTAATTATTATTATTAATAGGTTTGTTATTTTTTTTAAAAAAAGAATCCCCATATGTGAGCGCTGAGTTCAGCAAATTACCGCAGCTGAGAGTCGGTGCAGAGAGACAGGAGAGCAATATCATGCTCGGTGGAATATTTAACAAGCACTGATTGCCTGGAAACCTAACTTGGTGAAACCTGCAGGAGGAAAAAAAAAAGGAAAAAAGAAGAAAAAAAAAAGCAGACTTGTAAAAACACCCAACAAAATAAATAAATAACCCCCTGAGAGCAGAGTGGGGGATACAGTGGGCAGCTTGAACATTCACAGCCTGCCATCACCCAGTCTCCTGTATAGATTCAGATGACAGGAGTGCAATGCAGGTCTTARCTCTATGGGAAACAGTTGCAGAGGGGCTAATTCTGCTCTTGCTTGCACCAGCAGGAACAACTCCACTGCAACCACTGCACTGGGTGGTATTCTCATATTTGGGGTGCTGGTGGTACTCGCTGCCTCAGGGGAACTGCCCTCAGAGCATCTCTTATGGAAGAAAAAGCATAGGACAGCTTTCAGGGCACTGGCCTAGGGACATGGGCTGCCGAGCCTCTCCKTGCTTATGGATACCTACTGTCTCCCACTAAGACATTTATTGCAAACTCCATGCCTCAGCTTGCTGCTCCATGAATCAGGGATCACCTCCCCCGAGTGTGCTAGACCATCACRTACCACTTCAGCAGCCGTGGCCACAGCTGGGTCCCAGCTGAGCCTCTCCAGACCTGCTGTGTGCAGGGATGTTGGGAGCCAAGGCGGTGACTTGGACCATCTTTTCATGCCCCAAGCATWATGCATGTGGTACCTGGGGTCTGCACATGCCCCTCGCACCCTGTCCATGCCCCAACTTCACATCCTGCCTGCTCCCTCCACCACGTCACCCACCCTGCCCTGCTCTCCATGCTGGATGTCTCCAGCCCCTTCACTCCTCCTCTCCTGTTCACCTGCCCTGTCCTCCCCCTACTCCCTAACCCCCAAATCAAACAAACGTGACATTTGCTACCGAGACATCACCTGCTCTGTGCACATTGTGCCTGGGAGAGTGGCAGCTCCTGGGAGCAGGGACCATCTGCTTCCCTCTGGTGCCCTGCATGACACCGCTCCGCTCGCAGCTGGACCCTGACATCGCCACAACGAACGCAATTCATCATCCCGCTCATGCATTTTGCATTTCATATTTAAAGGTTTTGCCATTGACTGAAATCATTGTTTACCCATCTTTCTGCACCATGTGAAACATGCTGTTGCTATGAGGGGTGCCAGGGCTGTTAGAGTGCTCAGAGGTGAGATCCCAATCAGCTATCTGTCTCCTTCTAAAAGTCAAGAGTCCAGCTGAAGCACATTCTCCTCTTAGTTTTGGAGGACATCCAGTGTAAGCTGGTTGAATGAAAACACCCATTTATTTTCCCATCTGTCTAACACACCAATACTTGTCTTTTGGATAGCTAAAATGAGATAAATGCATTTGCCCTCTGAAGATACAATGGGAAATGAAGAAAGACAACAGGTCTGGGTGTCTCCTGATGGGTAACGGGGTGAGGGAGAAACCCGCAAGAAGTCGGTCCCCAAATGACCTTGCTGGTACAGACCTTACAGTRTCCCACAGGTGGTGGGATGGCCTGGTCTTGTCTCCTAAAAGATACAGAAAGGAGCATGGCATGGGGAGCATGAACCTACTGTCACACTGCCATGGCAGAGCCAGCGTMGGCAGCAAACAAGAAGGGCTCTCCACATCCACAGCCCAGAGTAAAGGCAAAGAACTTGACACAGACTAATGGTAGAAGGACCTCTCTGACCCCAGCATGATCCTACCAGGAAGGTTTCTGAAGGAWAATCCTCTGAGCAACACAGCATTCCTCAGATTGCAAACAGCCTCCCCCAGTACCCTGGCAGCCAGCTCGGATAACTCCACTTGTGGCGGTCCCCCCAAGAGAGACACTTTCCTAAATCCAGAGCAGAAAAGCATCAGTGAGAGCAGCCCAAAAGGCTGAGTTCATCACAGCAGTGCAGGCAGCCCGTTACGGCTATTGTGAACAGACATCTCCCAGTCCAAAGCTGGCTCCTAAGCTGGTAGTAAGGACCACTCCACGCAAGCACAAAGCGTGCTGCAGGAAAGACTTAATCYACTGCTACCTCAGCCTAACCCACCTACTTTTCAACAGAGCCAAGAGCAAATGTGCTGGTTCCTCAGCAAGGTTGATCTCACCTCTCCAACACATTTCCTCCCTGAGCTCTATCACTCACACAGTAATATACCACGACCACTGGAATCACCGCAGATTATGTATGTCCCRACTACAACATTTGTCAGGAGTAGCTGGAAGCAGAGGCACTGAATCCTTTAGCTTTCTGGCTTTATGGGGATTTTTCAGATAAAGCACTCTGAAAAATTCAAAGCCAGCTTTTCTGTCACTTGGATCTTTACTAAATTTCGATTTTTTTCCTTTCTTTATGTGTGTGCATGGCTTTTTTCCTTTTGTATTTATATGGGGAGAAAAAAAGAATACAATTAATATTACAGTCCTTTGAAGTCCCTCTGTTATTTATAGACCTTTTTCTTCCCCCTGAAATCAATCCTAGGTAGATATTTTGCAGTGATGAACATATTTTAACAAATCATCACAACTTTTAAATGCTACTGAGCCAGAGACCACAGATACYTTTTCTCTTAAATCACAGAAAGGCCTGTTGCCATCAAAATAAAAACTCACAGGTTCTAGGCCTGAGAGCCCTTAACCTCATTCAACTGAATATGATCAG